CCATAATTATGTTGACAATAGGCTATTCTGCTTGAATTAGAGTTATAATTTTAAATGTAATAATTTAGACTAACAATATAAAGTGTCCGTTCGTCCGTTTTCCACCGCTTATCCGGGATCAGGTCTCGGTGGCAGCAGCAAAGAGACCCAGACCCTCTCCCCAGCGACACCTTCCAGATGTAGTTTGTGACCTAAATTGATTTTTTTACAGTGGAAGTTAACCACTGAATGGTTTTGTTATGTGTGTAAACTTTATGCAGACCTGTAGAGGATAATCTGCAGCTTTGAACAGATTAAAATGTTAATTATGAATGCACAAAGAACTCAAAGGAAACTACAAATGTACAAACTACAAAGTGTAAAAAAAAAGTTGTGCACTACTTTCTGTAGACACATGGGGGCACTAAAGCCTCACAGGTGGTCTGATGATATCACTAAGGTGTAAGATTTACATGTTAGAGCTCTTCAAATTTGCCAGTATTTACATTTTTAGTTATTTCAAACAGTCAGAAAAGTGTAAATATGCATGACCTCAGTCACATTTTATGTGAAGATCTGTGAAAGATTTGTACATTTTTTGTTGAACGTTCATGTAAAAAGCTCATTTATTGGTTTAGTGTGCAAAGCTGTCAAATCTTCTGAATGTAACTTGATACTTGCCAGTATACAAATCTATCATGTTTGTATTACAATGTAGATTGTTTGTTATTCTGGTGTATTCTTTTGTTTCCTGCTGGACCATGGGAGGCTTCATGGAGACCTAACAGGCTTTGTCAGTCCGGTCTTCCTTCTGCCAGCAGCACCGTTATCTGAGCACAATAGGAATCCATCAGGCCATCAAGCAGCAGTAAGCTGAAGTGACAATCAGTGCAGAGCAGAAAGGTGCACACATCAGAAGATGAAGGTAAATCATCCTTTTTATGTTGCTACTGAAACCAACCATCAGAATGCATTCTGCAGGGTAGGGTATACTGGCAGCGCATCAAAGGGGACTTCCAGTCAGAGCTGGCAGGATGCAGCCTGAAAGACATGTGACTGAACTGGATCACTCCCAAAATGGCACGTGTCCACCTGAATACAGCTACTCTTCTTAATATGAAATGAAGGTAGACCACCATAATGGGAGGCCTCAGAGCCCCTGCAGCCACTAAAACAGACCTTGGTACTAAACGTAGAGTTAAATAAGATACTGAAACTCAAGTGTTTATTTACTAAAGCCAGCAGCAAAGAGAAGAATGGACTGTAACAAGAAAGATCATCGTCTCGTCACGATCAGGTGACAAAACCTCACAAACACACACTCTTTGTTTTACCACCAGTCGCTTCTTCATAAATTTGTGTGTTATATTTTGATCAGGAAGTTGCAGCAAACATGAAAATACAGTGTACCAGAAATGAATTTGTGCATGCACTGTTGAAGGTTTTTTGCATTTTCTACGTTTAAAACCACCACACACAGCAAACAAACGAATAAAAAACTATACACAAAACTTAATAATATTAAAATGAAAAACAAAATGGGACCCAACTATGAACAATAAGATATGACAGTCATAACCAGGACAAAATCTTACAGATAAAGGCCAAGGTTTAGATATGCATATTTTCCAAAGAAATAAGATATATAGCCTACATAATAAAGCAAAACTCGAGCAAAAACGATTCAGACAGAAGAAATAGGTGGCTATATACAGAAAGGGCTAGATTCTGAGAAAAAAAGGATGGTGAATGTGGCTTCCTCTGAGTTTTCAGGCAGATGAAGTTCTGTGATCTGTGCACAGCTCACTTTAGATCACTTTAGATACACACTGCTCTGGAGTGAAACTGAAATAAAGAAAATACAACAAGATGCAGAATGTGTTTATGCCAGGGGAGAACACTGAACACAGAACAATAGCCTGATGTATTTAATCAAATCTATTATTAATTTGACAAATTTTCAGGACACTGATTTCCTACGTTTATATTGGTCTAGAGCCGTTCAATATGTGCATGCAAAAGTGATTGTTGTTTCATCCACTTCTCAGCTGACTGGCTCAGGTAGAACATCTAGGCTGAATTTCTAAAACAGTTTCATCACATTCTTCTCCCTTGCCTCGGGCAAGTCCTTCTGATATAATCTGATCAATCGAAATCTGAAAATAATGGATTGATTCTCATCTTTAGCATCTCATCTGTTGTTGACCGTTTGCTTTCTCCCTATAGTGAAATGCTTACATGTAAAACTCAGCACACAAACTTATAGTGGCTGTGACAGGCTTATCCTTCAAATGCAAAAAGTTAAAGAAAACCCTTTTTTTAAGAAACTTGGCATAACACACATGGTTTTATCCATTTTGTCTCATAACTTAGATTTTCTTTTGAACTTGACTCAGCCAATTGAAGTGACATCAAAGGGGAACTCTTTAAGAAAAGGAACTCTTTGGTTATTGAAACAATATTATTTGAATGCTTCATCTCTCTAAAACTGACCTAAATAATCAAATATCAGATGTTTTTCCCTACAGTTTGTTGTTACACACTGTAGCAAAGATTCAAGATTCAAAGATTACAAGTGTTTGTCATACACACAGATAAAAAACATGAGCAATGAAATTTTTACTTTGTCGTCCATTTTTGAATGCCGAGCCATATTAAAAAAAGAAACAAATCATCACCGAAAGGACAATGTTGATTAGATAACAAAAGAGACTAAACTAAGGATAATAACATCAGAAGGTAACAATAATGACAACAAGAAGGGAACTGTACAGTAATAAAGACTGTACAGTGGTAAAGCTCTGTTTACATTCAGCCATTCCCATTTGACATCACTTCCTGTTACTTCACATGCAAATATCTCAACAACTGTTCATCTGAGGACATAAAAACATCATTTAAWTGGTAAAACCTTCCCAAATAGAGGCCTTTGGACAGTTTGTTGTGATTCTGTGCTTTTTGCTTTAATTCACTTACTCAAAACAGAAGAGTTGATTAATGTGGAACTGATTTAGTATTAAATGTGTAAAGTACTTTTGTGTTTTGATAAAACTGTCAAATATTTATTTCTGTTGAAAGATGTACATTTTTTGTAAAATAAACATTTATCAGCTTTGAGATTCCTCTGGGCTGAATTTTATCAGAACTTAAAGGAAGAATTCAGGAGGACTGAGATGGTGTTAAAGAAATTTAATGAATATTTTTATACATTTTAAGGCTGTCTCTCACAAGTCAAGCGACTCAAAAACAAAGAGCCACATCAACTCACTAAAGTCAACTGCAAAAACAACAACAAGACTGGAGCAAACGTCAAAAATAGAACAGATTATTTCAAAACAAACCCAGGAAAAATCACCTGAAAAAGAAGAGATGCAGAATTTATTGTCAAGTTTAAAAAAAGCTTTAGTAATCAGCTGGTTTGTTCCGTGTCCTGGAACTGATACTTTTAGGTTTAAGCCAGTAATTCATGAGATCCTTTAATGACCTAGGTTTTCATGAC